CACTAATGTTTTTTCATTTAGTTCAAAATATTTCCTCTTTTATTAGTTATTTTTTGATCTAGATGAATATTTATAAGCAACTTGCTTAATTCCAAATATTTGGAGATTTTCAGATATCTTACTGTTACTGATGCAAAAATTATGTATGATCACAGAGCATACTACACATAATTTGGTTGTTTTGATTCGGGAAGACTTATTTTATTGCCCAGAATATGGTCTATCCTGGTTAATGATTAATGTAAAYTTGAAAAGAATGTATATTCTGCTATTATTGAATGGAGTGTTCTATAAATGTAACTCAGTAGAGGTGGTTCCAGTGTTGAAAAAAATCTGCATCTTTACTGATCTTCTGTCTACTTGTTCAATTACTGATAGAGAAATAGGAAAATGGTTTTTCTCATTCTATCAATTTTTGTTTCATGTGTTTTAAAGTCCTTGATGTGTGCATGCACATTTAGCACTATTCTATCTTATTGGTGAACTGTTCCCTTTATTATGAAATAACCCTCTTTATCCCTGGTGATACTCCTTGTTCCAAACTCTTTGACTGATACTACTCTAGTCCCTCTAGTTGTTGTTAGTGTTTACATAGCATTATATGTTTTTCTATCCTTTTTATTTTGTAATGCTGAATTGGAAGGAAAAACTTTTAATAATTAAACAGTATATACCATCAAAAATTGACTACTAAACCCTGAAAGTTAAATGTTAACTCAAATAACTGAGAAAAGAACTAACGATGAGCAGTATACCCTTTTAAACACAGATCTAAGATTAAAGAATAGTAAGAATTATAATTACAAAGTAGTATATCATTTAAAAAACATTGGCAAAATAGAACAAAGCAAATATAAGTGAACAGTTAGGTACACCCTTTTACTTTTATTTAACCTGTCTTTTTGTCTGTTGTGTTTACTGCTACATCTCAGTGCCCAGAAACATGCCTGGAACTTTTGATAAATAAATAGTAAATGAAAAAGCTGCCACTGTGCTGGAGAGTATCCGATAAAGCTTGGATATTCACTTGGTAGGAATGTTATGAAGACTTTTAAGCATCAAGAAGTTTAAATGAGACAACATTTTAGGTCTTTTCCTAACTGAAGTGTAATGACCTCACATTTCTTTGTGAAGATTTTTATGGTTTTCTGGCTATTTCCCACAGGTTTCTAACCAGTGTCCTTAATAAGATATGGGACAGCACAAACTGGCAAAAGWCCTTTTCAGTCAACTTGTGCTCCATACTTGATCTCCTAGAAGTAAATAATCTCCACCTTACTCTATTCTCTAATTCTGATAAAGCCWGCCCAGTGAATATCATACATTTAAGAATTATCATTCTTTCTATGGAAAACTGGTAAACTAGGGTACAAAATGGAATCATAAATTGATGGAAAGCAGCCAGAATGCCTGGTTTTGTTTTTGTTGGTTGTGCTATGTTGGACAATATACTTGACATCTGTTTGCCTCCATTTCTTAATTTGTTAAATGAAGATTAAATAATAAATATAAACAATATGTAATCATATGGGGTGGTGTCATGACACAAGGCTAAACCAGTCAGGATCACTCCAGGTGAACTGAGCTGGCACACAGAGACAGAGAAATACCTTTTCCTTTGGGTTCTGGGATGGCTCCTCTGATCCAGCTCCCACAAAGGAGGCAAGGTAGGCAAGAAAAAGAAAGAGCACAACTGGAACCTGGTTTTATTGGGGAGACACCATTCAAATGAGGCAAGGGGTAGGATTACAAAGGAACAGGTGAGTGCAACTCAACCCACCAGATGATACCTACTCCTGAAGCCATGCCTCATTATCTCAGTGGAGATAAAGCCCAAGTTATTGCAGGACTTAAGGACTTAAGGGCATGTATTTCTAGAGCAGCTCCCAACAGGATAGTACTTGACACATAATAAACATTTTATAAGCATTTTTGTATTTTAAATGAATTAATATTTCTTAAATCAGTTATAACTAATAAAATTCAAATTAGCAAATACAACTTATTTACAACAAACTACTTGATGGATGGATTCTCCCTGTGACCTACCTGCATGGCCAGTGAACAGTGCTCTGAAACATGAGCCATGAGCAGATTGAAAATATAGTGAGAATAAAAAATAGAAATAAAGAAAAAAAAGGCAAAGACACGAAAAACAGATGTAGTGGGTCAGTTGGTGAGAGTGTCCTAAAGGGATCTAAGCAACAAGAGCAGGGGCTCCGTGTGTTAATTTTATAGGTCTTAAACATCAAAGGGATTCACTGTGAAAAGGCTTCTTGAGGTGAACAGGAAGATGTTGTGAGCAAAACAGTTTAATTGGGAGTTTATCAGTTTGCACTCATCTACTTCTGGGCTGCCAGGATTAGAATTCAAGGCTTTTGAACTAGTAAATTCCATGACAAACACGGAATTCTATCAACAGGAGTTATTTACAAATGGGCGTTTGCCTCCTTGCCAAAGGATTCCCAAGAGAGGAATCTCACTGTCCAGGGTTACATAGTTAAAAGCAATGATTCAGTCTCAGCTCCCGAAAATGGATAATAATAATTAGTCTTTTAAAAAATGTGTGTGTGTGTGTGTGTTGTATAGCCAGGGAAATATTTTTAATTTGGTCTTTGTGGTAGATTATGAGCAAAGAGTCTCCGGAGGTTAAGTAATTTGCTTCAATATACATAGCTAGTAATAGGTTGAACCTGGTTTATTATTCTTAATGTATGCTGCATACACTTTAATATAAAAAGAACAAAAAAGTCTCTAAAATCTCCAAAGAAACAGGATAAGATTTCCAGAAATGGGTTATGTCACTGCTTAACTTTTTCTCTAGTTCCCTTAGAAGTGTCTTGACACTCTCATTTCTTTTGAATTAAGTTTTTCTTCCATGATCAAATTAACATCCACAATCTTTGTTTAGATTCTGAGCCTTGAACAAATACAATTAGATGAATTGTAGCAGAAATTAATGGCTGTCTAAGCAAGATTTTTCTTCCCTTTTTCACTGTTAGTGGACACAGAATATTCAAGTCACATAGGCTTCTTTTGGGAAAGCAGATACCTTGATGTCGAAGTCTTCAAGAGATAGGATGCCAGTGACTCTTACCTGCTCATGCCTGAGTTCTGAACAATAAAGCTGCTTCACGGGAAACTATTTCATGCTGTATCTTTTTATTTCCAAAGCTTAAAAAAAAAAACGAATTTGTAAGAAAACAATCAGCCAGGTGCACTCCTGGCACATGCCTATAATCCCAGTGATTCTGAAGGCTGAGGAAGGATTGCAAGTTCAGGACCAGCCTGAGCAACTTTGTAAGGCCCTAAGAAATTTAGTGAGACCCTGTCTCAAAAAATGAAATATTTATAAAAACGGGTGGGGACGTGGCTCAGTGATTAAGCCCTAAAACAAAACAATGGGCATCCTTGTTTGCACCCCTTTAATTGAATGCATGCTCCTCTCCTGACTCCCAAAAATCTTAATTTGTTTACATGTTTTATGATTCCTGTTACTGGTTTCTGCATCCACTTTTCTGAAAATCAATACAGTGATGTAAACCCTAGATGAAGTCTGCCACTGTCATACTATTAATCATACTTTTCAGTAAGGTTATGAGTATTCCCATCTATGAATATATTATGTAAACCATGCATTGCTTTAAAAAGACACACTTTTAATAAAAATTAATTGCAGTTAACAAAGGATAGAGTTAAAATGGGCAATTACATAGATATTCATAAAGTCTACATATATAAGCTACAATCTCAAAAGAATATATAAAACTCAGTAGTATTTATCAATATAGAACTATAAATTTGATTCAGTTATGTGCTGAAAAACTAATAAAGCCATTTCTATTTGGAAGACATAGGTCACCTTTGAATCAAATTATACCCATGATAATATTTTTAAGACATCCATTGCCCACTAATTAATTATAAAGCATGAATTTTAAAAAAATTAAAAATGGCAAAAATTCTTTATACTATCTTTACCCTTTCAAAAACCTTAACATAGTTCTCTCCGATGGAAAACAATGGGACACAAAGAAAAAGAATCCTAAAACTTCTCCAGTCTGATTTTCAGCTCTGAAGAGCCTAGACTGGTAGTGGAACAAATACTCAAAAAGCATCATTGGTCAAAAATAACTTCCCTAATACATTTTAAGTTTCCTTTTCAAAATACAAACATCACTACCTCTTGCCCCACTGAATTGAAGACTATTAGAGACCACACTATAAATAACAGTAATATATTTAATMATATTTAAAGCACATTTTTAAAAGAGAGAGGGCAGATTAAGGAGAAGAAAGAACTTGGGAACTAAAGCATTGGAGTGATCTGGATGCTCTAAGAGAGGCAGCTTTAGAGGAATACCAAAAACAAATCCATCTTACGAATCATAAGAATGAATCCATGCATTCCCCCTCTCCCCCTCAACTTATCTTGGAGCTGCCATTGGCTAAGTAATCAGATGTTCTACCTAAGTTACAAATAAAAGATATGACACCATGAGTTGAAACATATGTCTCACTATAATGTATACATATATAAATTGTGCAATATAAATGGATCTAATGTTTCTTTGTTTATAGAGTGTTAATGGTAGGCTATGACAGTTGGATAACTATCAGTACAGTTTTTCAACACTCTGAGAAGAAGAAGCAAGTTAAGAATTTGTGRTATACAGTCTACTCCTCCAGCCTTCTCTGCTCCTGACCTCAACTGTGAAATTTTAAGATTCCAAGTAATAGACTACATTTAAAGATTTTTATAACATTTTTCAGCATTATATTCTGCTTAGGAACACAAATCTAAAACATAAGTCAGAAATCGCATGTTAAATTATTAACAAAAACTATTTATTAAGTAGTAGTACTAAAATCAGGAAGAATATTGGAGTTGGAGGTTAAATTTATTTTCAAGGCTCGAGCTATCTGTTCAACACACTTTGCGTTTTGCATTTTTTCAAATAATTAGCTCTTGATGACAAGTTACTGGTAGGAAGGATTTAGAAAGTTACGTGTCTTGCAGTTGCTAATAGGACTGTAATGAAGCAGTCTTGTAGTTCTTCATATTGAGTGCCCTAAAATTGAAAAATAAAGGCACATTTAATTTTATAGATGCAGATAATATATCCACATTTTCTATAAAATTTTTACATTAAAAATTTACACTAATATGTTTGATGACATATTAATGATCCAGAAACAAAATTTCTCTCACAAACTTAGAAAACTTATCTTTTATTAAAGTCAGATAAATTTAGAAAACATAATTTAACAGGAGAAACAATTATGTAACAAATTTTAACTCCTATTGTCCAAAGGTTTATTCATTTTAAAATTAGGGGAAAAGAAGCTAAAACTAGATGTGGGATATTTGTAATAATGTAAAATCAGATTTCAACAAAGTCAAAGCTACTAAACAGACAAATATAAGTATTATAAGTACATAAGTATTATATATGCATTTTTAATCAACCAGAATATTTCCTGTTTGCAGAGAAGGTTATTTCAAAGCTAGGGGCAGAACTCTTAAGCCTCATTAGGATTCCTCACAATTAGCAGGGCATGGTGGCACATGCCAGTAATCCCAGCCACTCAGAAAGCTGAGGCAGGAGGATCACATATTCAAGGGTAGCCTCAGCAGTTTAGTAAGGCTCTAAGAAACTTAATGAGACCCTGTCTCAAAAAAGAAAAAGAAAAAACAATTCCTCACAAATGCTGAGAAATTCCCTTTAAGAAATAGCCAATGATAGTGTATACTGTTAAAGTACAAATACCAAGTAGTTATAAATAACTAGAGATAAAGTGTTTTTTACAAGGGAAGACAGGTATATTGAAGGTGCWTAGATTTCTAAAGTCACTCAAATTTTAATTTTTAAAAGTGTATACATAAATATTTTGAAGTCTAAAATTTGAAAATATTTTTTGACTCTTAGGCTAAATATAAGATATTCCTACCTTTTGACATTCAAACTCATTATACTTTCAACTGGTCTGCTTTTTGGTCCACTTGGAGGATGAAAAACCTTATCATCTTTTTTGGAAACCTCCTTTCCTGGTTTAAGCATATAAGGATCAGTAGAATGTGATGGGTAAGATTCAAATGTTCCTGCTTTCATTCCACCAGGCTACAAATAAAAATGAGCCCATTTAATGTGATTTTATGAAATACTTTTTATAAATTAGGTTGTGAATAAGTTAATAGATACTTTTGTAATCTATGAAGTTAGTTTTACATTTAAAGAAGTTATCTTTTTGTTTAATTCAAATACCAGTAAAAAGTCTCGCTACCACCGATTCTATAAGGCTAGAACATTATATTCCAAAATTTCTCCATAAAAACAAAACAAAAAAATTATAGTAAGGTACTATTCTCAGATGTTACCAAGCATTAATGCTAGTGAGAGTTTCATCAAGCTATTGCCTCGTTAGGGTGAGTCTATTACTGAGGAAATGAGACCCAGCATATATTTTGATAGAGAAGGGAATAGGAAGTCTGGAATTAACATGTGTGTGCTAACCAGCAGGCAGACAGTAGACAGCTCCCTCAAAAAATGAACAACACATAGAAATAGAAGGTGAGAGGAAAATGTAATCCACTTTATACTTTTCTTGTAGTCTAGAGTAAGACAAAGTGCTATTCTACCTATACAACAGACAAATATTTGCTTTCACTTTTTAAATGGATTTGACAGGATTTTTACCTATATATTACATAGTCATTAAGAAAATTCTAGTTATAATAATCCATTTAATTAAGCCAAAATACACATGAAAATTTAATTGATTTGAAAGACATGCTTATAGTTTTGCAAGTTTTCCAGACTGAGATTACATAGATTATTTTGAATAATAATAATAAAACTTAAGGAAAATAAAATAAATTAACTTGAAAATAAATCTTTAAAAATTTAAATGAATAAATTATAAATAGGAAAATATATATGGTAATTAAACCTACCAAATGGTTCTTTAAAGAATGAACTAAACATATGAAGCAATATTAGAAATAAGAATTTAAAAATAGGGTAAATCCATGCCTATGAGGAATATCAAAATATATAAAATAATATTTTGTAAACTTCTGTATTAATTTGAAACTTGATTTGAAATTTGAAATTTTGACTTAAATAGTTTTTTAAAGATCTTTTCATATAGTAATGTAAACTTTTCATATAGTAATATAGTAAATTTTTAAATTTGAAAACTTGATTTAAATGATTTTTTAAGAAAGTATAAATGATCAGAATTGACCAAGAAGAGATAGAAACCATATAGAAAACAGATACAATGTAAGAACTGAGAAAGCTGACAAAGAGCAACCTCTGTACTTCCCCTGTGAATTCTTTCAAGTCTCTGAGGAATGGAAATTGATGGTAATATTTAAACTGTTACAGAACATGATGTAAAGGAAGGAAATATCCCCAAGTATTTTAAGATGCTAGCATCTACTTATACCAAAATAAACAAGGCACTCGCACACACACAGTGCAGACTGAGCACTTGCCTAGCATGGACCAGGCTCTGGGTTCGATACAGAGCACCACATATACACACACACACATACACACACACAAATGTTGGCATTTCATAAAATAAAGGCAAATTAAATATAGTACTATGTTTAAAGATTAATATGTCACCAAATCAGATTCATTACAGAAATATATTTATAATATATATATTATTCACCTTATAACTAGTAAAAAAGGGAAAAAATGACGTAATATTATACCATTTGATAAAATTCAACATACATCTGATAAAATTGAATCTGATAAGGCTAGCAGAAAAAAAAATAAGGCACATTATTCTAATACCAATGGTAAAAAAACAAATCCATTCTGAAAATGACATAAAACTTCACCAGAAAGGATTGATAAATTTATTCAATTTCTAAATAGCACAAGATAACATAACCAAAGTCAAAAGATAGAAAAGTAGAAAAATTACTTTCACCACAAATGAAAAAAGGATATATCCTTACTGTATGAAAAGATCTTGAGTCAATAAGGAAAGCACAAACACCCTTACAGAAAGTTCACAGGCAAATGAACAGGCAACATCATGTACAACCCCCAAAATGGGAAGGATTTATGTAAAAACACATTCTATTGTCATGTATAACTAAAAAACAATTTAAAAAAAAAAGAAAATGAACAGGCAATTCACAGAAGGAAAAAGGACAAAGGAAAACTAAGGTTTATAGTTTGTCAGAGCATTTTAAAATTTTTACTCTCACTGATTATAAATATCTATAGTAGGGAGGTAGTTCATTTTAATCACCATTTTAAAAACTAAAAAGATGACTTGGAAATTTTATGGTTTTGAAAAAACCCAGGTCTAAGGTCTTGAGAGCTACTTGGAAAACTCACTGTAAGTCCAAATATATTTGAAATGATTAGTAACTACTTTATTACAAGATCTTCATTACATACCTTAGCCATGTTTTTATATAATTTTGGAAAATTAGGCTTTCATGATTCTTGGCATCCATAGAAAGAAAAGCTTATTGTATTGATGAGTAATAAAACAATTTACAGCAAGAGGCTATTTATAATGCTTTTTTTTTTCATTCTGAAACTTTTAACTTACCTTTTTACCAGGAGAAGAGGGCTTAAAAGGACTGAAAAGTGATTCTTTCTTCTCTTCTTTTTTAATTGGAGGTAAAGGTTTTTCAGTAAAATAAGGATTAGTGTCAAAATAGTCCCTTGGGTAAAGATTTAACTTGAAAGGTGCCCCCTTCAGTAACCGATGGTGCTCTTCATTTTCTTTCTGTAAATTAAAGAATTTGAAATTACATAGCATATACTATGCAAGTTGGAAATAATGTGAAGACAAATCTCCTCTTAAATTTTAACATAAATATGTAGATTCTTTAGTGTATACTGCTGGGTGTATGCTGAGGTAGGAGGATCACAAGTTCAAGGTCAGCCTCATCAACTTAACCAGGCTTTAAGCAACTTAATGAGACCCTGTTCTCAAAATACAGAAGTTAAAGGATCAGGGCTATAGCTCAGTGGTTAGGCACCCCTGTGTTCATTCCCAATACCAAAGAAAAATTTTAATAAAATAAATAAAGCAGCTGGCACATTGTAGGCCCTCAATAAATGTCAGCTTTTACTTCTAAGACTAAAGAATATAATATTTTTGTGTTACAATATCTTTAGCTACCTAGTATTCAAACAAATCAGAGGATTTATTTTTTCCTCTTATGATGCAATCTTTTCTATGGGACAATACCAAGTTATAAAAATGGCTAGCTTTTAATAAAGTGTCAAACAAATCGTGCTGTGATATAAAAATTTTAAAAGACAACTATGAAGTGAATATTTATTTTTTTCACTTTTTACAAATATGAAATCTGATATTTCATCAGTCAACTATCTAAACTGAAAACATTTGAATAATATCTAAAATTGTCATATGAGAGAAGACTAATTGTCACTACCAGGAACCTCACTATATTTCTTTAAGAATTTTTTCACTCCTCCTCTTGTGTGTCCTCTTCCTTTCTCCAGTCTACCAGTTTTTGATAATCTGCCCCCCCCCTCTTCCATATCTCAACAGTAGTACTGACAATTTAACTATTCCATATATTCTTTGGAGTAGTGTTTCTGAAAGTTTAGCTTTCATGGGAATCACTTGGTAATATATTTAAGTTAGAAATTACCGAGCTCTTCCTTTGAAGATTTCTGTTACATAAGTCTGTTGTATGGCCCCACTAATCTGCAATTTTAACAGGTAACCTAAGTGATTCTGAGCATGATGTTATAAGGCAATGTTTTAATGAACACCTTTTTACTTATTAGAGTATGATCACTTTTTATGAGAATATTGTATTTGTTTTACCATCTTCTGACCTAGAATAGTCAGTTGAGTACTGTGCTAAGCATATACGAGAAAAAGACCACCTGGAAGAATTAGAGATAAAAGTGTGTGGTTCTCACAAAGTACTGTTTCCCACTAGTTATTAAAAAAAAAAAACTTTACAATTCACAGAGCACTGGGATAGAGTACATCAAAAGACCTTGCCTCAACAGTGGATAATAATTACCCCTAGATTGAGCACTGCTCCAGTCCCCATCTAACAAATCTTAAAAGCAAGACTTGAAAATATCAAACTGTTTTTAAGTAATATATCTGCATCCCAGAGCAAAACTCGAGAAAATTTATAATACAAAAATATACAATATTCAACAAGGTAAAATTCCCCATGCTTGACATCCAATCAAAAAGTGCTAGTAATGCAAAGTGGAAAAAGATGACCCATCCTGAGAAGAAAAAACAATTGCTCAAAATAAATTCAGAACTAACACAGATATTAGAATTATCAGGGAAGGGCATTAAAATAGTAATTAATTATAACTATATTCCATATGCCTCCCAAATTAAATTGAGACAGGTAAGATATTAAAAACATTCAAATCAAACTTCTAAAATAAAAAAAAAAGAATTTAAAAAACCCTTCTACAACACAAAACCACAATTATGATATTTAAAACTACATTGGATAGCATTAACAGCAGACTGGAAATTTAGAATATATTAATTATCTTGAAGATATAAGCAATAGAAACTAACAAAGTGAACTATAAAACCTGGCTAGCCAGCGCTGGGGGAGGGGCAAGCAGAAAAAATCAAAGTGATAGAGTGCCAGGGATCCCA